AGCGGGTAAGGATGGGAGCAAGTGGCTTTGTGGCCTCTGGGTGCTGGTGGCACAACTGTGGGGTGTCTTGTGCCTCCTTGAGGACTGGCGGTGCCCCTCATACTGGGAGTGATGGCCAGGAGAAGCAGGGGCAATGGCTGCATTGTGGCTACCAGCACACTGGGGCTCCTGGGTTCCCTGGGAGGGATGTTACAGTGGTGCTAGTGGCTGCAGCCTCCTTTCCTCCTGGAGAGACTCATGAGGGAAGGACCAGAGGTTTGCCTCTGGAAGCTGAATGGAGTAGCATGTTGGTAAATAACCCTGTGGGGCCAATTGCTTGCAAGCCACTGGCAGGTGGATGGGATGTGGCCCAGAAGGAGTGAAATTAAGTTAAAGGAAGTGTTTTTGCTCTGTGTCTGTCAAAAGGTTACTCTGCCCTGCACTTGCGGTCTGGTTTCCTTCCCCAGAGTAGCAGCAGTAACAGCCTGATGCCTAGAATGCTTTCCTGTCTCCTAAAATACCTTGCTAGCAGGAGCCCGCCCCATCTTCCCAGGTGGCTGGCTTTGCACGCATGTTGTGTTATAGGGGAAGAGGCACAGTGGGGAACTTGGCCAGCATTCGGAGCCACACCAGAGGTGGGAGCAGTCCTCTCCACCTCACCCTTGCTCAAACCCCAGGAGTCTGGGTGGAGAGACCATCAGGAGATGGGGTGGCTGGGGGCAATGTTTCACTTTTTGCTGTTTTCTTTTACTTGGGGAGGAAGAAACAAGGGCAAAAGACTTTCCCCAGGAATTTGGAGAAGGTGAAGTGTCTCCTGCTTCACCTCGACTTCACTTTCCCACCACGGCCATTCCTTCTTGGGCTGTGTGTGGGCTGGGCATCACTAAGTCACTCCCAAGCCCAGCTTCTCTTGCTGCCAGGGGAGCGAATGCCAGTGTTGAACTGTTTTGTCTTGCCTGCAGCTCTCCTCAGGTGGGGTTCCTGCGCTTCCTTGACTTGCTGGCAACCTTCGACTGGAAAAATAACCCTCTGATCGTCAACCTGAACGCTGGCCTCACAGGTGAGCAGGCAGAATTCAGAAGAGCAGCAGCATGAGGGTCTTGAGCCCTCTGTGGTCAGTGCCTGGCTCTAGGCGTCTTTGGTACATGGAAGTGTGTCCCATCCCACTCGGTGGGTAAGGGTGGGGTTTGTTTTGGATATCTGCATGGTAATACTGAAGACAATGACAATTGCCTTGAGAGGTTCAATTAAACAGCAGTTTTATGAAAAAGATGTAAAATGTAGAGGAATTACAAAAGATAAATGACTTGACAAAGAAAACTTATAACGATATCACAACCTATTAACAGCACTAAAAACTTGCAAAATATAACAACTACCAGCAATATCAGAACTCACAGCAATATCACAACTACTTATCACTATTAAAGACCTGCAACCACCTATCAACACATAAAACTTGCAATCACTTATCACTGCTAAAATGGGCAATCACTTCTCACAATGAGGCTTCCCGTGGCAACTTGCTGAACAAGCCCCAGAAGGAGCTGGAATCACCTTTAATACTAAAACTTGTAACAGTTAATGTGCCAGAAAAATTCATTAGAGACAGAAGGACAGAGAGAGAGGGAGAGAGAAAAGGAAACTCAAAAAGGGAAGGAAAACAAGAAAAAGAGGAGAGATGGAAAAAAATTTCAGAGTGCTATCGCCACCCTTGGTTCCAGCGATGGCTTGAAGTTGTGATTCTCAGATGGCGGCCATATGCCCAGGAAGTGTTTTTTTTCCCCTTTTATTCCTTAAGACGGGGAAAGTGTCTGCCCCCAAAGGTGGGGTTTGCCACCATCACAGGATGTGCAGAATGTGTTTTAGGAGTGTTCTGGAAATGAGTCAGTGGTGTTCCAGGAATGAGCTGGGGGGCTTCAGCAGCCTCACAGCCCCTCCCTCTCGGGGTGAATGGGCAATAGCCCTGCGCAGGTATGCATGCACAGAAGAGAATTAGTCCCTCAAAGGCAGGTAAGAGGGAGTTGCCATGGCAGCTGAGGCAGAAATTGGCTGTGTCCCGCCTCCGCAGCCCCCGCCTGTCCATCTTTGGCTGTTGCCAAGGCGGATATTTGTGTCATTCACCTGTCTTGCCCAGCAACTGGTCAACATAAGGTGTCACAGCTTTTGCCAGAGGTGAGGATATTTTCTGCTCCCTTACTCCTGTCCTGCCATGCTTAGCTTGGCTTCAAGGTAGGTTTGGTTGTGGCATGGGTTTTTTCCCCCCCCGCCTACTTTTGAAGAGGTGGGTCTCAGTGATGATGCTCTGCTGCTACTAGTCTTGCTGAAATCTGTGAGAAGCCTGAGTGGTGGCCAAGCCTTTGGTTGTGCTGGCAGAGCAGTTGAACTCTTGAACGGGAAGCTTCAAAGCCTCTGCTGCATGTCTGCTTTGAGAGCCCCACTGAGCCACTCAGATCATGGGGATGATCTTCTAGTCTCCAATTTCAAAACCTGCAAGAGAAAAGTGCTGCAGTCTTCCAGGTTTTGTTACCCCTTGAGCCTTGAGAATTTGCTGGTAAAAGTCTCTGGTTTCCAAAGGGGAGTACATTGGCACGTCCAGGTGAGCTTCTGGTCCTGCCCTGTTCCTTGTGTTTTTTCTGTTGATTGTCTTTCGGATACGTGCCATCTTTCCCCAGGAGTCAGAAGAGAACATGGGATTGTCTTGGCTTTGCGTGGTTGTGGGGTGGGTTCTAAAGCTGATTTAGAAAACAAGGTAAAGCTGCTTAGGGGGGAATTGGTTTTTGGAAACTGATATTTTTCTACCCTCCAGCTTTTTTAATGAACTGAATGGGAACTAGTTTTGGCCAAAGAGCTATTTTTTGTCCTCACTTGAGGGGCGGAAAAAAAAAGTCAGAAAACTCTTTGGGTACAAACTCTGTCATTAGCTTATAACGTGAGTTACTAGCCCAAGTCAGCCTAAGCGCCTGCCATATGTGGGCCCTCCTGGATGGGTTCAGAGCAAAGGTCCCTCTGGCCCTGCATCCTATCTCCAAAGCTTTCCACAGGCAGATGCCAAGGGAAGTGTGAGAGCAGCGCAAACCTGAGGTGACTGGGCTCTGGTTGCATGTTGACTTTGGGATCAGAGGGTGGGAGAGCATAAAGCCTGTTGTACTGCCCTTTTCTGGGCTGTGATACATGGGTGCGGAGGCTGGAGGGCTGTGGATGGGGCAGAGCATCTCACCTGTCCTGCCCTCTCCAGATACTGATTGCACAGAGATAAAGAACAAGTTTGTGGCTGCTCGCTCTCGCCTCCCCATCATGTTCATTGCCACCCCCAAAGACCAGTGGAGCTCCATGTGGACCCAAGAGCGACCCTCAGCACAGGTGACCCGGGTCCTCTGTCCTTGCCCCTTGGTGGCTGCTGGCTTGGGGCAGTTCCCTGCTCCCAGTGCTGGAGCCAGCTCCAATGGCCCTGTCATGAGTGGGGTGCCTGCTACATATGTGACTGCTGAGTTTCACCCTCTGCCTTTTTTCCCTTCCCAGATCCTACAGCGCCTTCTCGTGCTGGCCTCAGAGTCTCTCAGGGCCCTGGAAGAGCAGCTCATGGACCCGCTCAGCAGCCAGGATGTGAAGGTAACACCCTGGGATGCCAGCACAAGGGTTTTCAGGCTCTGGCAAAGCATACTGGTCTTCGGTATTAGTAGAATTCAGGCTGTGAACCACACGTGGTTGCCCTGAGATGGAGAGCAGCAAGGATGGGAGCGTGGAGGCTGGTGCCCCTCTATGCTGCCCTGCTTCTGGGGGACCCAGCTCTGCATAGCAACTTGGGGTTAAATATCATTGACTAGGACAAACTTATTTTTTATTCTCTGGTTTTCTTGGGACGTTGGCAACCAGCGGTGTTCCTGTGCCAAACTGGTCATATGTCCATGGCGGGAGCAAATAGCTTCTCTCAGAGACTCTGTCCTGATGTGGCTGTGTAAATCTGGCTTGTGTGCTCGAGTCTAACCAAGCGCAGGGTGGCGGGGCTTTTGGTAGGACACTTAACAGGCACATTAGGAAGATGTTATTTTGGTTTCAGTGGAGCAGCAAAGCCATATATAGTTTAACCCTCTTTGTTTTCTCAGTGATTTTATTTTTTAAGTTAAAACATCTATTACTGAAATTGACCTGGGAGACTAGACACATTTATTTGCCCTTTGAAGGGAGATCTGTGTGTTTCAGAGGGGAGCTCATTGGTGTACCAAGTACTGACCTAGGTGATTGAAGCTGAGAGGACTAAAAAAGCCGAACAGTGATTAGATGTGACAGGTTCACATTAGAAAATAAACCAAACCACAAATAGTGGATTTTTTTTTCTGCCTAGGCAATACAGAAAGGATTTACTGATATTGCTTTCATTTCTGCTGTATTTTATGCTGGAAGTATTACAGGAGTGAGATCTACTTGAGGCGGTAGCGGTGTGCATTACAGGGCTGCAAAGGGGTGAGACGCTGTATGCGAGACATACCTGGTGTGCTGCAGTCGCAGTGTGGACCCAAGACCAAAATTTGAGAGGTGCAGTGTGAACTGGGAGTCATTAGCTCCCAAAACAAGCCATCGTTTGTCTATAGCACCTTCCCAGCCCCTTGACTCAGCCTCCTTGGTCCTCCTTCCTTCTCCCCTCCTCTTGGCCATTGCAGTGGGATCCTTTCCTGTCCCCAGGGTGTCCTTCTGGTCCATACCAGTGTCCTCCCAGTGCTTTGATGTTCCTAAGGGACAAACACATGATGCTGTTTCCAGGGCCGCTAATCTACTTGTAAGCAAAGCTTGTGGTGAGGAGGATGAAAAAGCCTTTCCAGTGGAACTTGGAGTTACCTCCTCTTCCCATGTATCTAGGAGAGTGCTCCAAGTTTTTTTTGTCTTTGTGTTTGGGTCACTTGGGGACATGCCCAGCCTCATGCAGATACAGGCATGGATTTGCGAGCTCCATTTCTTTGCTCCCAGTGTGGCTACTATAAGCCGTGGACTTGATCACCTGGGTGGGAAAGGAGGTCTGTGTGGACTGGAGCTGGGACTTGGTGCTGGTCACTGATGTTCTTCATGTGTGTTCTCCCCAGCCTGGCTATAAACCAGCTCTGAGCAGTGGGTTTTCTGCCAGTGCCAAGTTGGGCAGTGTCCCACGGCTCTGTTCATGTCTCCACATCATTAATTCCACAAAAACATATGCATAGTTTTAAGCTTTTTCCATTTTAATACAGCTGCATCCACAGTGCCAGATCTTGCCTGTCCAAATATTTATGTGTCTGGGATTGCTCCCTCCATTAACAGGGCTTGCTCTCACCCTCTGTCTGCCTGGTGGAAGATGCTGCTGCCCTCTGGGGCAACTGTTGGACAGACAGGACCGTCCTTTTATTACACAGCTCCTTGTGTCTCCTGGGTGTTGTCTGTCTCCTCTTAGCTTCTTGACTCCCATTTTCATTCTGAGACTCTGACACATGCAGTGGCAGTTATCTGTCTCAGCTCACTGTCTGTCCCTCTCTCAACTGTCTACCCCACTGTTGTGCACGTTGGCCTGGTAGAAAGCTCTTACCCAGAGACTGTCCCCAGGTCCTGGGGACAGCAGTTAGATTTTTCTGCTGACCTGGGAAACCAATAGGGTAGAGAGTGTAGTCCTTCTGGCTAGATGTCTGACATCGGTAGGGAGCATCTCTCTTCTCTAAGAGTTGAGCTTGCTGTACAGCTGGGCTGTGGCAATCAAGTGTGTCCTTCCTGGTGCGCTTTGGTGGTCCAGAGAACATTTAGCCTGTCCGCTAAGAGATGGCCATGGGGGAACCACCTTGCTCTTGACAGAGTCCTTGTCAAAATGGGGTATAGGGGAGTGAGGGTCACATCCTCCTGATGTGAGCAGAGCCCATTCTGGACTGGGGACATATCTCAGCCCAGAGGGAATAAGGTGGCCAGTATGAGCTGGAGCTCCCCTTGGCTCCACCACAGTCATGTTTTTCCTATGGATGTTTTGGCAAACTTCTGACATTAGTCTCACAAAAAATTTGGCTTTGGTTTACTGCTTTCTAAGGAGGAGGGAATAAAATGCAAGCAAGGACTTGGTGAAACCTCTCTCATCTATCCTGCTTGCTTGTGTCCCATATTGAGTAGCACTGGTCTTTTCTCCCTGCAGATGGTCTTCCGCCCTCCTTTGGACTTCTATGATGTCCTAATCCACCTGAATCCAAAACAGATTCCTCGGCATCTGGAGAGCGTGGACCGGCCACAAAAGTCCTTTACCCGGGGTGTGGTGAAGAACAGCACTGCTGTGAAGATCCTCTTCCCTGTGGTGGATTATGACCCTGTACAGTGTTACCTCCAGGAGCTGAGAGTAAGCATGGCCCTTTGGGGAGGCACTGCCTAAGGAGGAGCTGCCTTCTGGCACTGAGGTCATTAGTTGCCTGCCACTGCAGGACCTAGTTGGTGACATCTTAATTTTGCATGTGATGGTCACTGTTTATGTGCATCGGAAATCACTTCTTCAACAGAAGACCTGGTGAATGCAGCACCCGTTCCATGGAAATGGGAGTGCTGCTGGTGTGAGAATGACCTCAGATACAAAGCACCTGGATTTTTGCTGAAGAATATGATATTTCTGTGCAGAAGTATCTTTAAGCCATTTGTCATTAGTCCATTAATTGACTTTTCATGACTTCTTGCACCAGCTGGGATGCGTGATGGACATATTTTCAGGGGAGATGTACAGAAATCCACAGCATGGTACCTGTAGGGCTCCTGCTGATAGGCCAATGGTTGCATGAGCCATAGAGGCTCTATATTGTCACAGGATGTTTTCTCTCGGGCTGGTTACATGCATGATTTCACAGGAAGTTGCTAATGGGAGGTTTTTCAGAGAACATCAGTATCCAAAGTTACCAACCCAGCACTTTTCTGTGGTGTAGCCATGCCAACGTATCAGCAAACTGGGGAGATAAGCAAGATGCTGGGTGGCAGCGGTGATCCACATGGGATCTGGACAGCCAGTTCTTTGCAGATGTGCAGCCTCTGCCTCTTTGGCCCTTTCCAGATTTGTGTGCAGTAGATGAGTAAACATTAGGGTGCAGAGAGATGGGTCTGTGGTGCCCTTTTTTCAAAACCTGGCTTGACTTTGAAGTGCCATCATCCCTTAACCACAGAAGTACTGTTAGCAATGTCAGTACTGCCAGAGCAGTCATAGTCTGGCCTTGGCAGGAAGGGTGCTGCAGAGGTCTCCAGCCCCATTCCCCTCTTGGGGCAGAGCCAGCTTTGACATTAAGACCATGCTGTGCAGAGCCCAGTCCTGTTGAATGCCGACCGTCTCCAGTGATGGAGATTTCCCACCTCCCTGTCCCAATGTTTGGCCATAATTGTGAAAATTTGTTTCCTAATGTCTGACTGGGATTTCCCTTGTCGCAGCATGTCTTGGCTCCTTGGGTCCCTGCAGCAGCCAGGCTGTGCTAGTGGCAGCTTGCTGGAAGGCAGAGCTGGAGCTGGGGGTGCTCCAGCTTTAGCTGTGCTCTGTCAGCTCTTGGCTGGCCCACCCAGCCCTCCTGGGCAGCACAGCAGGTCAGATGGCTTTCCTTTTGCCCTACTTGTGACCAACATGCCAGGAGGGTTTTGTCCACCTTCGCGTATGCTTCTCTTCCCTGAAGATTTGGTATCAGCTTCTCTCCAAGCTTGCACTGGGGAAGGAGGTGTGCTTGCAAAATAAAAATATTTTTTAGGTAATGTCTCTTCTCTTCCCAGGCTGCCTCCTGCAGGCTCAGCAGGGTTTAAAGTTGGCTAATCCTGCACAGCCACCAAGAGTTTCTCTGCTGCTGCTTCCAGGCTTGGTGGTCATGGCAGCTGCAAGGAAGAACAGCAGAAAAGGCCAGATCTTGCCTCCAGGTCCACAGAAGGAATTGCAGAGGTGCCTGAATTAAAACAGCAGTTCAGGCTGGAAGATGCTGGGCCCTTTAGGTTCAAGCTTCCCTTTCACCTTAACCCAGGTAGCTTAGGAGGTGGCCAAAGAAAACTTCCAAGGGTTTCTTTGAAGGTTTCCTCAACCCTAGCCACAGCCCCATTACTTTCCAGTAGCTGTGGTGCAGTGAGCCCAATCTCTTGAGTAAGAGCAGTGAAAAAATGGGTGGCTAAATAGTTAGGCCAAAAAACCACACCCCTAAACAACAACAGTGTAGTTGCTTAACTAGCAGTGAGCGCTTAACCTCATTGCAAAATCCACACTTCAACCTGAGCTGCTTAATTCAGTAATCCTGTTTTAGACCAGGGTATTGTTTTACTCACCACCTTTCTCCATCCTTTAATTCGAACAACCCAGATGGCTCCTTACAGACATTGAGCTAATCTTCTACCAGGTGCCATGTGCCCCTTCCCTGGGGCTATTAGGCTTCTCAGGATCACAGCCCTGAGCTTGCAGGTCACCCGTTTCTCTGTGAGACGGAAACTGTCTGTAGATTTTGCTGATGGCAGGGATTCTCCTGACCAGGGAGAGCTTTCTCGGGGCCTTCAAAGCTGAATTGCAAGCAAAGGTAAAGCAGCTTGGGAAGGGAGTAGGGTTCAAATGCACCCTCTGCCTTTTCTCCCTTTACTATTAAACTTTACTTTGAGGAAGGTGTTTGCAGGTTCAGGCAAGCCCAGTGACACTAGCCATGGAGCATGGGATGTGGAAAGGGAGGTGAATTCTGTTTGCTTTTTCTCCCCAAGCCTCTGTACAAACAGAAGTGCAGTGACTAATACATGAGATGCTTTTAATGCTGCAGTTTCCCAAGAGTTGAATGTGCATCTCCACAGCTCAGTGGAGCTGGCCTGACGCGCTGTCATGACGACAATGCTGGGAGCAGCCAAGTGCAGAAGCTTGCCTTTTGCTGGGATTTTGAACTCGATGCCATCCTCTTAACCTCTGCCCTCTGCTGTCAGTATAAAAGGTGCTGGATATCAGGCTGAACAGTGGTTTTACTGGGAAATGAGCTGAGCTTTGAAGGGCTCCTTTCCTGCAAATGGTCCTGGCTCCTGTCCAGCAAGACATGCCTGTAATAAATACCTTTCTCTAGGGAGCATCGCATGTCACTCGAGACCTTACCCTGTAGAGTAGCGGGGCTTTTTTACATTCTCATGTGCTCTGCTCCCCTTTGGTTCAGAAAGCTGCATGTTGGCGGTCAGTGTGCCCTGAGCTTTCTTGCCCTTCATTGAGCTTTCCTTCCCTCCTGCTGTTTGCCTTTTGGCAAAAGGAGTCATCTTCACTGTTGACTGGGCTCTGAGCATAACCCGTCACTCCCAGCTGCGAAATGCCAGGGCAGGTTGCCTCTTTCTCAATGTATTTTTAGACAGTGGTTTTTATAGCCAGTTTGGCAAGATAATGCCTTGACCAGCTTTGCCCCCATGAAGATCCTATGAAGTGGGATGAGCTGACAGGTCTCAGGATCTTCCCAATCTGATGACCTAATCATGTTGCCCTCTGCTTGTAATACTTCAAGTCTGAACTCATAAATCTGTCTCTGAAGGTTGCAGACAATACCACCCCTCCCTGCTTATTAGGTCTTTACTCTTAAAATGCCACCCTACCCTTTGGGATCACTGGTAATACCACCTGCTTCCATGTTTTTCTCCTCCTACTGCAATCTTGATATGTCCATACAAGACCCCTCTAAGCTTACCTTTGATGTTGATTTTTTTTTTTTTTTCATGCACATCCTCATGAAAACCTCATGATACAACAATGTCAGCAGAGACCTCTCTTTGTAAGAGCGTGCCTGAGTTGCATCTGGGGAAGCTAAGGGGATGGAGGAGAAAGATAAAGAGAGAGCAGAGGGTCTGTATTTCTTGCAGTAGGTTGCTCCAAAGCTGGCAAGGCCATGTGCATAAACTCGTCCTGTACTGATGCTGAGGTCTGTTTGCTCTGATGGGTAAACATGTGCTGTTGCCTGATGTTAATCTCCACAAACATGACCAAGTGTCAGGAAGCGGCTTCTTGGCTGTCTTGATCAGCTGTGCTTGGGATGCGTATTCCAGGTACTAGTGTCTTGGGTGACAAGCTGTAGGGCCAAACTTTTGTGTTTGAAAAGTTGCTTGCACACAATGTTGTTTACTTCTGTTGCAATGTGTACCCCACACCTTCTTGCAGCACTGGGAATCCAGCTTGCATGGGCTTGGGGGAAACCAGACTGTGCATGTTAGTCATCTCTTCATGCAAGAGCTCTCCTGCCCAGCACTACCAAAGGAGCTACTCGCTAACACAGCTCCTGAAACACAAGGGCAAGGAGAGCAGATTCCTGCAGTGCCTCCATTGAGCATTCCATCTCTTGGCACCTCACCAGACTTGCGTTACTTAAAATTTCTGCTGTTGTTTCCTTTTTGGATACTGTGTGCTGACAGCACACATGGGGTTTTTCCTAGGGGAAGAAGGAGCTTTGATACCTTTGTTGCACAGAATGCGGATCTTGAGATGCTGGCCTCCAGCCCTTGACTGGGTTTGGTCTTCGATGCCAAGTAGTGAAATGTATTGTGGCAGGATTGCCTGCTGGGCAGGACCTGCCTCTTGCTATCTGATTAACTGTGAAATTTTGGACACAGCTGTTGGAAACTGGGATAGGACAGCTTGGTACTGCCAGATTCAGCTAAATAGGGGACCATGGTGAGGAACACTCAGTGGGTTGCAACCCAAGGGGTCCAGTGTCGTAAAGCTGGATGCTGATTTCTGGCTGCTCTTCCAGGCATGTGGGAGTTGGTGGATCATATTTCTGCTCTCTCAGACAGCAAGAAGTGGTCAGTGATGAGGCATGCTTGCAAAACTTGGAGGCAGTGCACTGTATCCATCAAGGCTGGAGGAGAAGAGGCAGCAGGAGGCACCCAGGGCTTTCTCCATGGGTTGCCACTTGCTTTCCCTGTTGGGAATCCACTGGAAGAGCTGCAGCTTTGGTCTTGGCTAGTGTGGAGCTACTGTGTGTCACTGTGTAAGAAGAGTGAATCAGGGATGGGCTCTGGCTCTGGCTCTGGGATGTCTGGCACAGCCTCTGTTTGTTTTCTCCCCTAGGACGCTTTCAGCAATCTCGCCTTGTTCTTCTACGACAAGCATGGTGGGGAAGTAATTGCAGTCTTGTGGAAACCTTTGAGCTTTCAACCTCAGCCTTTTAAGGTCAGTTTTTGACTCTTTAAGTTTCATGTTACTTTTATGCCCTGAAATCTTGAAGGGCTTTTTTTTCTGCATTGTAATTGCTTTGTCTAACTCTTACCAGCCCCAAAGGCCTTTGAGAAATGGAGCTCATACTTCTGTCCCTTGTTAGAAAGGGAGAAACCAAGACAGGGCTGTGGCCACAGTGCCACCAGCCATCAGCAGAGCTAAGGGGACATGTGTCCCTGGACAAGCCTCAGCACCATGATAATGAGTAAGAACAGGGCTCTCTGTCCCAGGTGCTCTTCTCTGGTCCCCTCCTGGGAGGTGGTTGATGCCTCGTTTGCCAAATACATTGGTGTGTGCAGCAGGCTGTCCCATTCTCTTGGCTTTGGGCATCTTGCCCAGAAAGCCACAACTTGCAAGAAGCTGGAGTGGCAAGCCTGGGTTCATAGTGCCCAAGTCCTATCAATGTACAGAGTTATTTTCCAGCTACGCTCTGTAGGCTGGCAACATCTAGAGGGTGGTTAAGCCAGGTGCAAGGTACGCTGGAGTGATTCATGCTGCTTTCTATGAAGGAAGAACACAGCCCAGGCTCTTCTGCTGTCAGTCTCTGGGTGATTTATTTCCCCTCTCTTCATGGCCAGAGGGCACTGGCCATTCGGCCTAGTTGCTCTTGTGAAACCCAGTTATTCACAGTGGTGAAAGGAGAGGAACAGATGCTTGCATCTGAGCTGAGTGTGGTAAGGTGGTTTGTTTTTTTTTTACCCTGGTGGAGAGGATTTCTCCTCACTTGAGGTTTTGACACTAAGCAACAGAGCAAAGCAGAGCCCAGGCAGCTCTCACTCGGCATCACGGTGTGGTCCCTTTTGTGTACCCAATCTACTCTGCTTACACAGGCTTTGCCATGCGCTTGCACACTTTTCCCATCTCTGCCATGCCCCGGCCATTACTTCTCTTTTTTGCTTGCAGTCTGTGGACTGTGGCCCCAGTGTAAAATCTAGAAGGGGCTGGAAGGGTCACTCTTGCAGTTTATTAGCTCTAATAATGAGCAATGATGGCTTTGAGAAGTGAAGCTTAGAAAATTGGGTGTAGTGGTGTGGCAGGGGTTGGATGTGACAAGGCAGGACAGCAATTTATGACTCCTATTTGGGGCTAGCAGAGGTTGCAAAGCAGCTCTGAGCAGGTGCTCCCCTTTCTGCAATGTGTGTGTGTCCTGCAGGTCTCCAGCATGAAAGGAAGGATGGTGACAACTCTGAACAACGAGCTGGTCTGCGTTCCCAACGTGGAGGCAATTCTGGAGGACTTTGAGGTTATGGGAGAAGGCCTGGTCAAAAGTGTGGAAGCTCGTACAGAGAAATGGACTATCTGAGGCTACTCAGAGGTGTCAGAGGGACCCATCCTGAAACAGAGTTTGTTCACTCTGGGACTGTTCCTTTTTTATAAATCAGTCCTAGAAAAGGTGTTGAGTTTTCTAAATCCCAGAACTGTGTGTTTTACTCTGTCTCTATATGCTTTGTTCAGAGAAGCGAAGGCACCTATTACTGTTTTCAAGAATACAAATGCATTTTTATTTGAAGAAAATACAAAGATGGGATAAAGTTTTTGAAAGTGTTCCTGTTCATTGTAGGAAACAAAGCTGTGTTCATGTGAAAATGTCAAGGCCTGAAAATTATGTCTGAAGTGCGCATTTGGAAGGCAGTTTCCTAGTTAAATAGAGAGTTCTGAGCAGCAGCTGTTACTCTAGTGGTTAGCAAAACAAAGAAATACCAAGACATTAAAAAATGACCAGGTTATTCCCCTCTATTCAGCCTTGGTGAGACAACATCAGGCGTGCTGTTTCCAGTGCTGGGCTCCCCAGTTAAATAGATATGGGCACACTGGAGTGGGTCCAGTGAAGGGGAATGAAGACAATAAAGGTGTTGAAGCCTCTATTATATGGGAGGAGACTGCAAGAGGTGGGATTGTTCAGCCTGGAAAAGAGAAGGCTTGGGGGCATCTTACCACATACCTAATGGGGGGTGGACACTTCTCAGTGGTGCCCAATGATGCGATGAGTGTCATAAAAAGAAATGCAGGAAATTCTATTTCAAACATTTTTTTATGAGCATGGTTGAACACTGGCACAGTTTGGCCAGGCAGGGGGTGGAGTCTCCATCCCTGAAGATATGTAAAACCCAACTAGATGTGGTCCTGGGCAGCTTCCTCTCGGTGACCCTACTCTGAGCAGGGGCTTGGACTAGATGATCTCTAGACGTGCCTTCCAACTTCAGCTATTCTGTAATATTTCTGTTGTCTGAAGTTATCATTGGTACTCCTGATTGGGAAAGAGAGAGAAATAAGAGGGAGCAAATGCACTATGCCTATCCCCTCTTCTGATGGAGGCAGCACATATTTCAACAGCAAAGCATGGGTGAATCACATACAGGGTAAAACAGACTTGGTAAGAACAGATAATGCAGAACATAAAACCAGATCAAACTTGAAATGGCAAGGGGCTGTTCAGGCAGTTTTATAACTGTAGACATTTGTTGCTTGGTAAGGAGCATTTCAGATGGGATGTTAAACCTGTTGCTTCAAGACCTGCTGGCCTCTCTAGCTGCTGGAAGTGGGTCCAAGCCACAACTTGGTTTTCAAATGTTTTCTCCGAAGCTTTTGAAAGTGGGCTGTGGCAGAGATGCAGCACCGGGCTGATACTGCTACTTAGTGCCTGTTGACCCAGTGTTTGGAGGCACAGTATATCCTATGGTATAGATACATGTAGGCAGCATCCCTGGCTTTGCGCAGTGGGTATATCTGTTATATTAAAATCACAAGGAACATTTTTCCTAGTTCCCTGTGTTGGTGGCTGAGGGAGGCTGCAGGTCCTTTGCTCGCAAGAAGTTTTTTGAGTATGCCTAAATTGAAAACATCCAAAGCACTTGGTGGGCAAAACAGGTATCAAATGTGAAAATAAAGCAGTACTTTCTGTTGCTACCATTACCCTTGCAGCCTAAGAAACTGCTGACAGGGCCATTAGCAAGCAAGCTGGAGGCAGTGGTTTCAACAGGTTTCAGAAGCAGTTAAGGATTCATTTTTAAGCTTCTCTTTGTTCTGTTTAATCGTCCTCTGGATGTTGGAATCGCCCAACCAGCCTTTAGTGATGGCTGTAGTTTTCCTTGGTAGTCAGATTATTCCTGCTTTTTGTGCCTGTCTGCATTCACTCCAAACATGCAGTTTGACATTGAGATCCTGTAAATTCGCCAACACAACTGCTGGACAACACTAAAGTTGCCACACTGGTTGCTTATGCCAGACCTCTGCCTGTTCCCTGCACACCCCATCTTGCCCTTGGTTTTCCCCTTGCTGTCTGTATGCTGCAGATGTAGATGGTATTTGGCTGGGGTGATCTCCTCACTGCATATATCCCTGCTTTTCCCTAGGGCAGAGGTGTATGCAGAAGCCCTTGTTAGCTCGCAGGGAAGCAGAGCTCTCCTCCAGCCCCAAGCTGCACCAGGCAGAGCAGGAGGTGCTGCTTCCCCTTCCCAAAGGCGGTCACAGGACGCAGCCTCTCACTGGCTTATTCCCTGCCTGGGAATATTTACAGAGAGACAGTCTGTTTTTGCAGCTCAGCAGTGCTGTAGTCCCCCCTGCCCTGTCCTGCCCAGCTCCCATGGCAGGGCAGCTCATGGGGTATATGAAGGACATACCCTATATGTATAGCCCTGCAGCACCTCTGCTTTTATCTGTTTCTGATACGCTGTCAGGTATCATATTGCTACTCCTTTTCCTTTTTGCCTTTAAAAAGATGTAAAACTATGTGTAGCTTCAATCTATTGCATATTGGATCTCCTCTCTCTCCTCCAGCCTTGGGTAAAACACTGCTGTTTGCAGCATGCAGCAAAGGGTCAGGAAGCGTCCAGGCTAGCTTTCTGCAAAAATAACAATGCCAAGTTAACTGATAATAAGTAAACTCACTTGTAACCATACCCTCATACAAGTATCAACCTGGTAATGTTTCACAAGGTAACGCCACTGTGCTCAGCAGCCAGATGTGAGCCTAGGTCAGGCCTGTGCTGCAGGTGTTTGCTGGTGTAAAAGTCTGGTTTGGTGACAGATACTGGTATCTCAGCAAAGGCCTTGAAATAACTGCACTTGAGACTGGCAAAACTGCCCACTACTGACCCAGCTTACACCAGGTGGAGGGGACACATCTGTGTCAGCAAAAGTTACCCAAGTAACACCTTATCCCAGCTGTGCTTGCAATGCTCCTTGCCAAAGCTGTGGTTGATCAACAGGCTCCTGCCTCCTCTGTCAGAGGAAGAGTAACTCCTCCATGTCCCAAATCCCCCAGTATCCAAACATTTAAAGGCACCTGTGAGCCATTCTGGAGCCCTTGTTTGTATGGTCAAACATTGCAAATGTTCTGGTGTTCTGGGTCACGTTTCATCATCTGCTAAAGTCAGACCCCTGTGGCCTATTTGTGTGGACAAAACAACCTTGAAATTTAGCTGGAAAGCCTGGGGATGCTCTTAGGAACTGAACTTGGTGCTCTCTGACTTCTTGAGCAACAGTTGGTATGTAAAGCAACCTGCAAAGCACCTCTGCCTCAGAAACAGAGGGTCCCTCTGCCTCTAAGGGTGTGAAAAGGCAGGATCCAAAGGAAAGAGGTGTCTCAGGTACATAAGAGAGGACAAGTGAGGTCTCTGTTGCAAACTTGTCTCTCCTGTTGCCCAAAATACTGCTCTTGTTCGTGTGCTGTGACTAATTTCTGTTGTGAAAGCTGGGGTAGGGCCTGGGTTACTCAGAGCATGCTTGTTTGACAACCTGCGCTGGGTTTCCACTTCCAGAGCAGTGAGCGGGCACTCGCTTGCTTGCAGGTGTTTGCTTAGCTGTGGTCCCAGCCATAAACAAGAGCTGTACAAACACGGAGCTGCCCTGGAGAGACCATGCCTTGGTATGTTGCAAGAGGCAGGACAAGGGGAAAGGGAGGGAAGTGCTGGAGCTGAGGTCATGGCAATGGGCTTTGACGTGTTGCCACTGCCACACTGATTTTGTAAAGTTACCTTGGAAGGTCTTTCCAGTGAGCCTCCCATGCACAGGGGTGCAAATGCAAATAGGGAGGTGTTTCCAAATGCGAGGCTGGGCTGGAGCAACGATGTACTTAGCAGGTAGATGGAGTCAACCAAGACAGGGATCAGCAGTATCTGCTTTCTAGCAGACGTTTCCAAAAGCTGGTGTGTCCTCTGGGGCCTTTACCTGAAACCACCCTCCAAGGGCAGGTGTCCGTGCTCATGGGGTGCGTGGGCATGCAAGTCTTGCTGCCTCATCTTCCCCCCCCCACCCCAGTGAGGCTCGACCCCACGGCACCTGGCGGGAGTCAACGCGGGGCAGAGGAGAAGCCGCCTGTGGCGCATGGGACCCAGCGGGCGGTGCTGTGCAGGGGTCGCGGGTGGGTGCGGAGGGGCACGGCTACGCTGCTGCGCTGACAGATGCCCACGGGCAAGAACGAGCTGGTTTTGTACAAAGGGTTATTTCTGCAGATGGACACTAGTGGCCCAGCATTGCAGAAGGTTAAAGAGAAAATGGAAAGAGATACAAGGTGAAACAATGGTGAAGGAAGGAGAGGCACCACTGCCCCACGTTCCCAGGGTGTCCTGGTCACGCCTGTCTGGGGCAGGGCTGCCAGTCACCTGGCTTTGGCCCTTTGTGGCCTCTCGGCCTTAGGTGCTCCCCACGGGCTGAGTTTGTTAAGCGCACGCACTGTTTCTTCTGGAAGGTTCCCACAAGGGTCTAGGGGCTGTAGATGGTCTAGGAGTCAACTTGCTTCCACTGCTGCCGTCAGCACAGGGAGCGACACCACCTCGTGGACAAAGGCCCTGCTGCCCCCCATCCCATGACACAGGACCAAGGGCTTTGCCAAAGGCATGGGAACAGCAGTGGGGGCTCCTGCATGGGCAGCGGAATCCTGTGGTCTGTGGCTCGAGCAGCCTGTGCAGCAGGGGGATCCCAAAGTCCCTGCCTGGCACTTGGCAGCCACCGCTGCCTCTCCAGACCCTCACCCAGGGAGGAGAGCAGGAGTTGGGCTCCCGATGAGGCTGACTTACTGTCTGGAATTCCTTTGTGCCGCTCTGCAGATGCTCTGCTGCTGACCTGTGATCTTTCTCCAGGCCCTGGGCATCTATTGCTATTGCTGGCCCTGGCGTTAAACCAGTAGGAGTGGGATGGATTGAGGTTGCCCTCCCTGGCAACTTTAGTTTAAAGCCCTCTTCACCAGCTTGGCAAGTCTATGACTGAAGATGCTCTTCCCTGTCTGATGGATGGACCCTGTCAGTCCCCAGTAGACAAGGTTTCTCAAAGCGAGTGCTGTGGTCTAAGTAGCTGAATCCCTGGCTGTGGCACCACTCTTGTAACCGTTTGTTGGCGTGCCAAATTTGATCAGCCCTTTCAAACCCTTTCCCTTTGAGGATTGTTGAGAATCCTCAGATTCTCAG